ATTGTTTCTTGCCTTTAATTCCTCATTGGATACAAATGTATAAACTAATCATATTAAAATATCTTACAAAATAGTTGCAAAGCTCCTTTTTCTACTGAATGCTACCATTGACTTCCGATAATTCGAAACGAACAAAATATTATATATCACATTTTTTTTAAGTATCGATTCATTTACTTTATCCGGGAATATACAGACTCTCGACTCGCAATAACGTTAGTTGCAATTTTTACAAATGAAAGTTCAAGATACCGTGATCATATTTAATATTAGACGTAGAACATAAATTTATCGTTGTCTTTTCTATTAATTATTTGATTGTGATTATTGCAATGCGGCGTGTTTGACATTTTCAAGAAAGATTAATTAGAACAGTGATACTAATCAGATAACTTGTCACTGCTGAAAATACCATTATAAATTTATCGTGTTAAAATATCACGCTATAAATCTCACATTTCATTGCTTATATATAAATGCTAAAAATTAATTTAACTAGGGTTAGATGTAAGGAGCAAGAAAATCTCCGCTCATACGTGGCCATTAATCATCGTAACAAATAACTTCGCTTTGCGAAAGCAAATATCTTATTTCATTTATACTTTACAAGCGTTTTGACGTACGATCGTCATTATTTATGAGTAAGTAAAAAATGTCCATCGTCTCTCCCGACGTCGTCGGACTGTCATTCTCTCACAGGAAGAATGTCATTCATTGCGGAAAAACGTATTTTCGTATTTTGAGATGCATACATGGGAAACACGTGACGTTAACGAGCTATATGGATCCGACGGATCGCGACTTGAGAGACATCGATGCCCGGACAGGTCCGAAAACGTATCAGATCAAATATTGTTGATGAGTAAGTTGGATTTAAGTATCGTTGCTCAGTTGGATTATGTAAAATTCATCAACTTTTCACGTAACAAATTTATCGGTCTCTTTTGTGATGAAATATTTTTAGGAAAAAAAATATTATGTATCAAATAAAAAATGTTATTAATATTGATGAACCTTTGCAGAAAAACAAATCTTTCCATTGAACCTATTTCTTGTATCCAACAGTTTTTATTTGTGACTTTCGAACTTTTAAGTGTCTAAGGACCAGATTTTCGGTCAATTCTCATTAACTGTTTGAAAACGCCAGTTAGCGTTTTGCCAAGGAATATTAGCACAAAAGGTCGACTTTTCAGGGTAAGCACCACAAGTGTGTTACCTGTGGTGCGTTTCAAAAGCACAGCGTGTACTTGACAAAAAAAAAATAAGTGACGGCGGCAGCAGCAGTTATCTTGTGGTAATGTTTGAACGAGTGAAAATATTGTGACGGTGATAGAGTTGATGTCGGTTCTGTGTTCTTTTAGCGGCATGCCGGTAAAGGCGGTCCTCCTTTGCGAAATTCGGGTAAATATGTGAAGCCAGAAAAGTCTACTCTTTCTATTTCCACCTCGACTGTCAGTTTACACAGAACAACAACCGGTCCGACGCTGCGCGCAGTGGTGCCTAAAGACGAACACTGCAGGACAACCAAGTGAAGGATACGAATGAATATTTACGATAAAGCGAATAACAAGCGTAATAGGCTTTTTTTCTTTTGATTGATATATTAACAATAAATAAAATGTATTCGCCTAAATAAATCTTCGATCATATTCGCGACGCAATTCAAATTTATTGAAGCAAATTCGACACGCTCTCTGCATGCTTAGTCGGGATCCATCTCAAGAGAAATTTTATGGTTTGGCGATAATTTTAATTATTTTCAATCAAATACGGAGGAACTTTTTCTCAAGACAATTAATATCAATACCAAACTCTTAGATTCATATCCATGTGTATATATCTTTTATCATTTCCTTTTATTCATTGTTGCTCAACAGAATATAATACAATGGAATACAAGGATTAATGAGTAAATTGTGTTGATAACAAGCCAAAAAACTATCCAACTTAAAAGAGCTTCTTGTCATCATTTCATAGAAATATTTTTTTTGTAAGAATTTTTTGTAAGAATATTTCATATTCTTTTAATACGAATCAGACACAATAGATTACTAAATAGCTGCGTAATTTCGCACAGTAAAAATATTTCAAGAATGCTTTTAACAGATTAACTGCTACGTCAAGTATATAAGTGACAAGCATTTCATTGCAATTTTCACATTCATTTGTACTTTGAAAGAGCTCACAGAATAAAGTATATAGAAGTAAAAATGGTACATTTTTGAGTTTTAAACATGGTAGCAGAATATGTCACGATCGCTGTATAAAGTGACGTCTACAATAAGATTTTAAGGCGTGAAATTTAAGCTTTAAGTCTTAAGCCGTAAGAAATTGGCCAATCATCAATTATTTCCTCACATTCGATTGTGATTGATCAATTTCTTACGGTTTAGGATTTAAAGCTTAAGGTTTACACCTTAAAATATCATTGTAGACGCCGCTTAAGCGGTCTAGTATTATAGAACTTTTGAATTCAGCAAATTCAGCATGACAGTCAACGTGTTAAAGAATATTAATGTGTTCAAGCGAACAAAATGTCTTTCAATGCATGAAAGACACTTTGTCGCATTTGACATTTGCTTCGATCTGGAAATAGCACAGCAGCGCCTGCAAAGCGCTACAAAATCGCTTATATACACATTTTTAGCGCTTTTTTAACGCTTTAACGCGCTGCTGCTTGAGAAACCTATTTATATCTACTCTCATCGTAATTTCCCCCATTAGCCGCAACAATTTAAGATTTTATCGGTATATTTGAATATTTTTCTGGATAAGCTTTTAAGAATTCAGGTTTTGTCCGCTTAAGCACCACTGTCCGCGGCGCCGAGGCGTCCTTTTGTGTGACGCGGCGATGTCGACTTACAAATTGGAATACAACGGAGCGGGAGTTAGGAGAATCGTTTCACGCTTCGCGGGGGCGCCAAGTGGAAGGCAAACACCGATAAAAAATGCATGAATAAAGCACTAATGGAGCCTCCATGGAAGAGAAATAAACCTCGAATAGTCTCCGCTTCTTAAAGGTGGTGACGGGCAAGCGATCGTACGTCCTTTTCTCGCATTCAGTTCCCACAGCATCGCGGATGATTTTTAAGTCTGAAGTGACAAATTTACATGAGAAAGATCGTTCACAAAGATCATCTAACTAATTGTCATTAATCTGATATTCTATTTCGTAGTTTTCGATCCTATTATGTATGTGTATGTAAATTTCTTATGGAGGAAACTCATCCTGATCTCTCCGAAGAAATATGATACTTCGAAATTGACAGCGAAGAAGAATCACGCAACGTAATAGAATCGTACATAAACTATCCGCATGAAGCGAGCATGATCGAACATGATCGAGCCGCTTATCACGCCGGCTAGCATTTCGCGTGAATCACCTGCCGACGTTTTAACGACGTGCAGTAGCTAGTTTGTCATACGGATCAGAGTACGGTGACACGCATTAAAGTAATAACACGAATTACTACGTGCGTCCATGGAAGAGATAGTGATCGATATATATGTTGGTAATTACTGTATATTACTGAAATACTTAACGATTGCATATTAATTCTTTCGACTTCATCTTTTGATTTATCTTATAACTTTTCTCATTTTCGCTGCGTTCAATTTTTAAGGAAATGATTATATTATATATTTGATTATCATACCAACATAGACAATATGGTATCAAAAAATTTTCTTTAGCTCTTGATTCTGAACGTTACGTAATGCCTACGATGTGACGAAAAGTTTTATCAAATTAACTGTGCTGGATTCCTAATTTTCTAGTCATTTTTTATCTTATTGCGTTGAGGAGAACTCGAATTAGGAGTCGAAACGTCTGCACATCTAAACTGTTTGTATTATTCATCCTTTATGAACAATGTAGCTCATATTCATTTTAATATCTAATAATTATTAATATATTATTATATAATATTATAATAATAATTATTAATATTTATAGCGTTAATAATTAATACGGCAATTTTAATTAGTTCGTGATTTATTCTTGAAGCCAAGATAATAAATTTATGCGTTTAACTTAAATGCATTATTGTTATACAAATTATTTGCGAAATTATCGAGGCTATATATACATGCTTTTAAAGAGATAAATCACATATAAAACATAAAAATAATCATATTCTTCTTTCTTACTCTTAAAAAAAAACGATGCAAACTCTTAAGAAAATGTGTATAAACGCTGTTATTACTGAAATTTAATGTAAAGATCTCTGACTGCGTTTTTTCTGGGATTATGCTTCACCACATTGCACCCAAACAAATTGAGAAAGCAAGAAACCCACCGATCTCGATAACGTCGCATCTAATTGTCGCTTTAATTAATATGAGACCAAACGCGGCCATGATCGACCGATCGATTGGTCGTACATGATATCCCCCGTAAATACGGTGTCATTTCGTAGGATGATTCACCGATGAGCCGGACTGTTTCAAGGACGGTCGTCTTTATCACAACTTAAATAGCAAAGTTGCATTTTATCACCAGTGACGTTAAAATCGCCAAATTCAAAAATTCCCATTATAACAAATAACAATCGAAGCCTTACAAATAATTTCACTTAAAGAAGCATAAAACATGTCTTCTTCAGGTTTGACTTCATTTACAGTTATAATACTTCTAAATTGGAATTTTAAAATGAGCATTTCTGGAAGCTATCTATCGTGTATTAGAGAACAAGTAATTAAAGGTGCAAGTAAATGAAGACAATACATTTATTTTAATATTATTATTATGTGATTTAATTTTGATTTTATTTATCTCATTGTGGATTTATATAAATCGATAGATTTTTCTCACGTAAATCGCTAAAAATTATTGTAAGTTCATATAATTTTTTATATAATCGGAAAAAATAATTTACGTAAATTATTGAATAAAACAATAGGAATTTTTGACATTTTTTATTTTTATCAAAAGATAACACTGCATCCTTCATTTATTTGCATCTTTGTTTATTTTTGAAAAGAAGAGCGCACGCGTTCACCTGTGTCATGAGACGATCAGCGCCGGAGCCTTCTTCGTCCTTAAAGATGATGTCCGTGTTATAATTGGGCACCAGGTCTCGGAACCTGGGATCATATCTAGTAATCCGTCCCTCGCTAAGTCCGCTCGCCGGTAAGGTGTTCTCGCTGACATTTGGCACATGCTGTTTGAAGACCAGAGGGGTGAGCTTCCTCAGATTCGGCCGTCGGCCGGCGCCTCTGCCGGGTCCGCACGCCAAAGCAAAGCCACTGTTATCGAGCACGGGCAGCCAGAGGCTGAGGAGCAACAGAAGAATCTGGAAGAGCGAAGTGCCTACGCGACTCCCAATGGCATAGTGGTGGGTCGCCTGGAGGCCGCGGCGACGATGATAATGGTGCACCATAATCGCGTGCCTCTGCCTCGAGGTCGACCTTGCGCGGTCACTGCTCTCGTCGTCTCCAGAACGGCTGGGAGAACGACGATGACGACGACGGCAGCAGCAACGATGACGAGGGTGACAATCCGCTTGACGTTCTGCTACCGATTCTTCTTCTCCGCCTCTTGCCACTGACCTCACTCACGCTTAACCATAACCAGGGCATCACACACCCCCCGTGCACGCACTCTTACCACCGATGTGATCCCCGTATTGCGTTGATAAACTCCGCGCGCGACCGACCAAAACTAATGATGGTTCACCGGGAGAATCTGAGCGGAACTCGAGCGATCGACCGATCGGCGAATTGACGCGCGAGGCTACTATCTCTTGGAGGATCGAAAAAAGATCCTTTTTTTTTCTCTTTTGAATATCGTAAGGAGGTGACATACGGTCACCACACCGAGATATCATCAACTCGTGATACGAAATCGAAGAATTTACGAGAAGGGATCTTTCTGCATCCTAAGTGCTGTCGAACTCTCACGGAGAATTATTGAAAGCCGGATTTCTTCGACTAATCGACGTTCTCTCTACCGGTACTGGGCCCTTTAAATTCTCGTCGGCACGCGCCAACACTCCCGCCTTTCCAGAGTGGAAACCTCTGCAATCGTTTTCGTCGGAGAGGAGGTACGTGCGAGTCGACTCACTTGACTGAACTCGGACGAACGACGTCCGGAAGCTAGCGCACGTTTTCCGGACGAGCCGGTGGTGGGAAATGCAGGATGGGTTTCGGTGGGTACTCCTGCGTTGTTTCTTTGGCCTGACCAGGTCCAGGAGTACCCCTCTTCCTGCCCCCACCCCGCGGCAAACGACCGGCGAGACCACCGCCGCTGGCTGCTGCTAGCTGCTGGTCCCCGTGAGGCTTTCGTGGTCTCCAAAGGTGGTGGTGGATGATCTCGCCCCTCCACCTAGGGCCTCCTGGTACGCGTGACTGACGTCACGAGGCCCGCTGTACCTCTATTGGCCGGGGCGGGGCGTTCACCAGGTAAACGAAGACAGGTGCACGTGACTGGAGGGAGAAAGAAAAAGAGAGAGAAAGAGTTAGAAAGTGTGAGAAAGAAAGAGGGGAAAAAGGTAGAGAATGAGAGAAAGGAAGAGAAAGATGATAATCTTCCAGTTTTCTTCTTCGGCTAGACGCGATCGGTCTCTCATTCTCTTTTACTCATCTTATTCTTCTTTTCTCTCTCTCTCTCTCTCTCTCTCTCTCTCTCTCTTTCTCTCTCTTTCTCTCTCATCTCTCGAGTTTCTTCGTTATTCACCATCCGCCAGTTTCTTCTTTGACTATCTTTCTTTCTTCGATGTTTCTCGTCTATCGCCGATTGGACCACACTTCTTCTTCGTCGTGCCGTCTTACCTCGTTACTCCGTTCTTCTCTTCATCGGAGTGCGTCGCTTTCTTTGCGCCTATCGCACTCTCTCGGCTCTCCACTCTGTAAAACCTTCCAATATTATACTACGTATAAGATTTTATCGCGAAGATTTCTAATGATTTTCTACCCCCGAAGGACGAATCAGTACCCCCATGATAAAAGCAACACGCGAAGCGTGGGAGGCTTACAAGAATGACCTTGACGGATACTTGGAGCGCTGTAGGATTCTTCGTTCTCTTTTTTTCTTCTTTAGTTTCTTTCTCTTCGCTCACTCAATTCTTTCCATTTCTTTTTCTACTATTAGTACTCGTGGCTCACTTCGGCGTACGTTCGCAATTCCTTCTCACATTTTGTGAAATTTTCACGAAGACTTCAAGACTGACATTTAAACACTTGACTTTCGACAATTATTATATTACGCGTAAATTATATGATATGGACATGAATAATAATTAGCTATCATTCATAACTATCATTTACCGGAGTATATTATTTTCCTTTTTTTACGTTATTGTTAATTGATAACTGCATGTGTGGATTGGCGTAAGCTGTTTATTATCTCTTCGAGCACTTCACGAGGTATCGTGAGAAAAATCCGTAAACGAATCGTACCGATTACGAATGTGCGAATGTTGCACGATCATTGATCATCGTTACCGTACGATCTGTCTGCGAGAAATGAGATTGGTATTTGTACATCGAAGGACCGATTATGCGAGCCAAATATCGTTGATCGGTATTATAAGCGGCAGAATGTACAGCGCGAGTGAAATATACGAGACCGGGCACGGCTACACGGCAACTGATATGAAAGTCTAAGTCTACCTCACGGAGGGTGAGCAGAAAAGGGGGGTACGGCAAAGAGTTCAGTTTACTGATAATAAACATCTTTCCCAAATACACAGACGATCACTGGCCCGTTCGCATTTACACAACGTCGTGCTGAAACGTGCCCGTGGCATTCTGTTATAACTACAACCGCGTTGAAAAGCAAAACTTCGTCCGCGCGCGCGTCTGTGAAATAATATTTCCTAATTCTTGACACTCGTATATAAATGCTTTACGCGTATTCGCTCGTCAGATTTCACGGAAAAAATGAGACAAGAAAGTAAATTGATGATATAAGTTTTGTTTAATATAATGACACGTTGGATTCATGATGTCATTCTTTAAATAAAAAAAAAGAAAAATATTTATTTCTCTCACTATGTCTAATAACAAATTCTAACTAAATTTTAATCAAATACTTGTTAACGCATGTTAACAGGTATATTTAAACTAATCGCGTCATGATCGTTTAAAACGTGATAATTTTACGAATAAACTTCTGCGAAATAAAAATTAGTTTCAAATTGTTTATCCAACGTTAGATAAAAATGGTAAGATTTTTTGTGTATTTTTTAATATGAGGGAATTTAAAGAAATTCCGGAACATGAACAGTTCTTATGTTATAGAAAAAGCTATATTGAGCACCTACATATGTTAAAACTTGCAAAGGTTCTAATAAATTGAAAATATTCTTAGAAGCAAGAAGGTGATAATGCCATAGATAAACTCATGAAATTCGCTGGAAACTATTCCAGCGTTTCAAATCCAAATTTTCGCGCCTTCTAACTGACATTACAGTTAGGCCTGTTTTTTTTTAGCTGAACTTTTGCATCAGTTCATCTTTCTTCCTTTTCTCTCCAGGAGAAAAGAAGAGGAAGAAAGATGAACTGGTGCAAAAGTTCAGCCAAAAAGAACAGACCTAGTGTCACGGACTTGATTTTTCGTGAATTTTCCTCAGTGGTGCATCCGGAAACACAATGGCCGAATTACGAGCCGTATGTATCGCCCTACGCGGAAAGGGGGAGAATTACGGCCCAATGAAAGTATAAAATGTCGCTCGTTAACGGAGCCAATGCCAGAAATCGCTGAAACTTGCCGGCAATAAAAGGTAACGAGTATTCGCGGGCTGTAAACATCCGTGGAACGCTACTCCGGAACATTTCATAATCCTGTTACGAGGCACTTTGACTTTCGTGGCCAGCTGCGGTATGTGTGGTGCGCGCGCGATTGGAAATAAAATTCTGCTATCGAGGTGCAAGTAACGGCGCGGCGTTGCCGTGCCATGTAAGATCGTTGCATCGTGAGAAAATATAAAGGAGAGGAGAATACTGTCGGTGGTCCTGTGCACGGAGCTACGATTAAGATTCCTTCTGTCGCGTTAGACGGTCTTTAACTCGTGACACTCGACGCCGACTGAATTATAAGAACGAAAATAGCATCGATCGATTTTACTGCGTCGAAATGATATCTAATAGTCTTGATTGTGTACAATTCTTATCGGTTTCTTACGGATATCTCAACGAAACGTCTTAATATCTGTGATAAATTACATATCTCGTATCTTAAAACATATTTTCATTCACATTTCAAATCAAATTCACTCGCAATAACGAACGATGATGTTTTTCTCACTGTTAGATATCGAAGGAGTACTGGTAACCCAATCCCTCGAGTTACCTAAATAATATTTTGTTATTTTTAACTTCCATCTGTGTCAAAATGCCCAAGAAATATATCAAGTCACGAGAAAGTTAAAATGACTTTATTTTGACGTCATAAAAGTCAAAATGATGGCTTTTTATTACAAAATTTGACTATTTATTGACGTTAAGACTCAAAATAAATTCATTTGGATTTTTTGTTGACTTTTATGTAGTCCTTGGGTGTAAATCAAATCTATTTCTGTGGTTAGTTTCAAAGTAAACATCGTCTGTAAACGTATGCATTTAGTAAATAATATATTAAATATTTGGGTCAAATTGAATATATTTTATTGAGTTAAATTGTTTAATTTCATTTTAGTCAAATTAATAACATATTAAATAAGAGTTGTAGTGGCGATCCACAGACATGATTAAAACTGATTTGAGTGTAATTTGACATTATGAATTAACAGTGCTTGTCGTCCCAACTAAAAAAGGGTTGATTCTGAATTGGTCATAGAATGCATAAATGTAAGATCCATTAAATATACAATGTTCTATGTATGTAACAAAAATAATATTTGTCAAAACTTAAAGGTATTTTAATCTTTTTAGTAATTAACTTTTCGCTATCGTTGAGTCGGAAAATGCCAGTGCAGGCCGAAAGTTTTTCTTTAGCCTGCAAATTTCTGTCGGCAAGACAAGCGGTCCACGATGCGTCGTGAATGTATGAGCTCAGCTGTCTCTTTTTCGAGGTAACACGATATCCTGGAGGAACCTAATGTCGAGCAAGCGGAGGTAACACCGGCCGAACGACGACGGTCCGAGTGGGCCTTTCATGTAATGGACGGCTCAAATATTTATCATCGGCCGCGTAATTTAAGGTGCGTTTAGCAAACGGAAGACGACGCGAGGAAAAACAAACAGGACAGGGGCGGTGTGGCATAGCCGGCGAGAAGGAGAGAATGGAGCGACGGTGAACGAGGAGGAGGAGGAGGAGGAGGAGGAGGAGGAAGAAGGGGGGGGGGGGAGGAGGAGGAAGAGGTGGTTGAGGAGAAGGAGGAAGAGGATGAGCGGGGATGCTGAGGGGGGTCAACAACGATAAGCAGGAGCGAGAGAGGCGGAAAGAGTAGCTCAAAGGGGCCGCCGCGGGGTCCAGAGGGCCTTGTGAGAAGGCGCAAACCCCAATAATAGCACCAGAATTTATATACCTGCACGAACTCGGTGGAGAACGGTCCCGCGGCTGGAAGGGTCCGCCGACCCAGGGACGGCTCATTGGACAATACTCCGGCGCTCCTGGACAATACTTTCAGCGATGTTCGCGAGTCCG